TGGGGAGGAGGGTAGAGAGAATGGTGCAGCAATGAAGGAATGAAAACCCAAAATCCCTGTAAATGTTCATTAAAACTAATAAAATTTAATAATAAAAAAAAAAGAAAAGAAAAAAAAAGAAATGGAGCTAAGAAAAGCAAAACCCATCACAATAGCTAACCACAAGATTAAATACTTGGAAGTAAATGTAACTAGAAACACAAAAGATCTATTCAAAGAAAATTACAAAACATTATTACAAGAAACAAAAAGAGATCTGGAGAAATAGAAGAATATACCATACTCATGGATAGGACATAAAGACCAGTTGGCCTACTGGACAGAAAGCGAGGCTACCAAGCCACAGTTGGGTGACTCTAATCCGCGGCCCTAAGGCCTGTCTTTAATTGTTTTGGTGAAACATTCTTCTAGGTCATATAGCCCTGGTGTGTCCACTTGCCGTACAGAGGCAACTTGTGGTCGCTGTGAAGCTGCACATTGTAACACTGATGTGTCAAATGCGATAATGGTTACCCATGGCGGACAGTGTTTGGTGGTGCTCCCTGGCTAAAACAAGCTTGGAAGCAGGAGTGGCATCCACTTCCATAAATAGCTTGCCTCAGGAAACCCTACAAACGTGGAGAAAAGATGCAAGTGATGCAACTGTCGAGGACTTTTGTTCATAGGGTTGCTATGAGTCGCCTGCGACTCAACAGCACTTAACAACAAACAACAACATGGATAGGAAGACTCAGTATTGTTCATTCAATCCCAATACAAATACCAATTTTGTTCTTCAATGAGATGGGAAAGGTAATTTCCAATTTTATCTGGAATGGAAAGAGACCCTGGATAAGTAAAGCACTCCTGAAAAAGAGAAACAAGGTAAGAGGCATCTCACTCCCTAATCTCAAATCCTAGTACACAACTGTGGTGTTCAAGACAGTGTGGTACTGGTACAGTGACTGATACACAGATTAATGGAATAGAACTGAGAACCCAGAAATCAGCGCATCTATTTATGATCAACTGATTTTTACAGGGAAAAAATTAGTTAAGTGGGGAAATGAAAGTTTCATTAACAAATGGTGTTGGCAAATTGGAAAACTATCTATAGAAAATTCAAGCAAGACCCACAACTCACACTATACACAAAAACCAACTCAAAGTGGAACAAGGACCTAGAAACAATGCCGAAGACTATAAACTTCATCAGAGAAAAGCTTAGAAGAAATCTAGGAGCCCTAATCCACAATATGAACAGTCTTCCAAGCATCTTGAAAAATCTACAACCAGGAGAGAACAAAATAGATGAATGTGCCCTTCTAAGAATAAACTCCCTAGGTATATCAAAAACCTTCTACAACAGAGTGAAAAGGAAACCCACAGACAGGGGAAAAATATTTGGTAATGGCATAAAGGACCCATATCTAAAATTTATAGAATACTCCAATACCTCAACAAGAAAAAGGTAAACAACCCAATCTCAAAATGAGCACAGGATATGAATAGACACTTCCACAAGAAGACATTCAGATAACAATCACATAAAGAAATATTCAAAACCTTAGCTATCAGAGAGATGAAAATCAAAATAATTATGAGATAAATGTTACCTCAATATCTACAGTAAAGTTTAACAGAGCAGCAAACAATAAATACTGGTGAGGTACTGTTTTTCACTGCTAGTGGGAGTGCACTATGGAAGGTGATATGGTACTTTCTCAAAAAACTGGAAATAGAAATATCAATGGACCCAGCAATTACACTACTAGGAATATACCCTAAAGAAACCAGAGCTTCCACTCAGACATATGCAGACCCATGTTATTGCTGCATTATTCACAATAGCAAAGAGATGGTAACAAATCCAAATGTCCATCAATAAATGAATGTATAGAAAAATGATGGTATAGTCACATAATGAAATAATACACAGCAATGAAAAACAAGGAACTCATAAAATATTACACAACATGGATGACGCTGGATGGTATTATGCTAAGTGAAATACCACAGTCACAAAAGAGCAAATAATAGGCATTATTTGTATGACAAAAGTCCAGAATAAAATGTGCATAGGAAAGTGAACTGGGGGAAACATAGAGG